AGGAGATGTCATGTCAAAACGATTTCATCTGAAAAGCGATTAAACGTTCTTGGAGGTTTATTCCGAAAACGGCCAAGGTTTTATAGACTGACACTCAAACAGCTTCTACTGAGTAACAATTTAAAATATTGCTGCTCTGAGGTATAAAATGATAAATTACATCATTCTACCTTGACATAGACACATTATAAACGTCTTACTTTTTAACGTCTTACTTTTTAAGCCAACTGCCAACAACTCGCTCCGACGCCCCGAAACCATACATATCAGCGGTGTCTAGGAAATTACCTCCTAGTTCAGAATATCTGTCCATCAACTTGTGTGACATTTCCTCATTCAGCTGGGTTGGAATTGGCATCATCTAAAACATAGATGTAAAAATAAAATGAGAACATAGCTCAACAAGGAAACCGAACAAATGGTTTCACATTCAGCACTTCTAATTTCTGACGTAAAAAAAACTTATACGTCAACTGCACTATTAAAACAATACTAAACACTTGTTAGCCCCTTGTTAGCCCCTTTCTGAGGCATAATGTGCCTTATAGCAGCTTGCTTCTGTTAGTTCAGCGCAACTTTCTTCAGTTGTTAATAACTAATATGCTCTTAATTAAACTATTATCAAATCATTATTAAACACAAGATTGACATTTTAAAAGAATTAAAATATTATATGGATTTCTGAGGTGAAATGTGCTATATTTTTATTTAACTTAGTACATAATGACTATTTTCATCAAAAACAACAAAATATATATAAAGGGAGGTAACTTGTAAAAAATTGAAATATTTACTTCTTCACACATTATAATGTTAACCTTATGAAACGAAAGTATATCACAGTATATTTAGATTTCGGATAATACGTTAAACTAAAAAAAAAGATATTTTACAGTCAATGTACGGTGTGTAATCATGTAGTTAAATGTTCTTTAAAAGTGAAATCTAATTATAATATGCAAGCTGCATTTATGTAATAAAATTAAATTATATTCTATCAAAACAAGAAAAATCACTTACCCCGTCGCCAAATGTCATAGTGCCCAAACACAGGTTCGAGACCTTAACTCCTGACTTGCCGAGGAAATTGTACGCTACTGTCGCTTCAGTCATGATTTATGTTTGTTTATGTTTTTTTCTATAAGTTTAACTAAACATCTGATGTACTACATGTATTTACAAAAAAATAATGATGCATTTGACAATGAGTAATAAGTAAACATGTCAAGAGAGATAACTGGAAAGAAATTACTCTATTCTACACCTCGACTACATTAAAATGACATTTCCTAGTGCAACAACGATGTATAACTTAATTTAGCCTAACCATCGCCATTCATGTATCAAAACAGCCACCATATATATAGCTAGGGCCGTTCCAGATTAAATGCTATAAATATCTATGTTGCGAGTATATTTAGATTGCTCAAATACATACATTCTGATTTGGGAACATACCCTAACTGATTTAAATTTATACATACATAACCTGATGAAATATTACTTCAAGGTTTTCTTGATAGCGATTAAGGTATGGTTGAATTTGACTGTGTATTATCATTAATAAATACTTAGCGATTTTCCTATCTTTATCCATCCCTTTGGAGGCAGTACACAGTTTCGGTCGTTTAGTTTCGAATTGGCCAGGATCAATTTTACAAATAAGAGACCATTTTGTAATTGAAGTGGATATTTGAACTTCTTAATATTTAAAGTTGCCATAATTCAGTATTGTGTTACATTTATCAAGTAAAATTGATTATAGTGGTGTTTGACCCATAAATGTTGGGGAGTACCTGACAGATTCGAATGCATGATCCATAAATCAGCTCTTCAATTTAAAGGATATGCAGACGATTTCGCAATCTAAACAATGAAAAACACAGTGCTATGTGCCAGAAAACTAGAAGGTGGACATGTATTTTAATTGTTTGCTGTGAGATACACATGTATATGTTAATTATGAAATTCATTTAATTCAGGTGTGTGATAACAGGTTTTGAATGTGACGCAGTCAGTCGTTTGCCAAGAAGCCTTGAAACCTTTATCTTCAATTTTGAAGCTGGAGGTGGTCAGACAACAGCATCAGGCCCGGTCAGACTGCACTAATGTGCAGGTTTGTCTGACTTTGGCCACTATACTCTGTCTGTTGAATAAGCCTTACCACTTTCTGTACAAGCACGATATGGGTTTCAGTCACTTTCAGATTTTCTTATGACTGATATTTTATTGGTTCGCTATTTATAAATATGAAAATGTGTACGAGTGTGTCTTACACACATTTTTACAATGAGGATGAGCATGGCTAAATATTTTATTGTGAAGTATATTTGTATTTTTATCGAAAGATGCGCGAAAAATACTCCAACGACAGACAAAAAAGCTTTTTTTTTCGTGTTATATTTTTGCCAGGCAATAGAACCGCACCACTTCTTAAAGAAAATGTTCAAACATATGAAAATCCACACAGACAAACGTACGTTTTCGCTGCATTTATTCCCTTATTAGTACGCGTTTTACTTTTGAGGCATGGAGGAGCACGTGACCTGTTTTCGGTACATGGAGGAGCATGTGATCTGTAAACCGTATATGATTGGTTAATTGACCCTTTCGAAAACCCAGCTAAATACCGTTTGCCGGTACGTTACGGATTTACCTGTAGGGAATAAGTCCGAATTACACCTAATTGAGAACAAAAATCTATTACGTGATATTTCTAATTTTCTATAAACATTTTACCGTTTAAGGTGGAAAAACTTGAATGATCTGTTTGAAAATTATCAATGTTTCTCAAATTTTACAAACAATAAATTGTTTATACTGAAAATCTGCAAAATGAAAATATTCGTAGTGGCATCTGCCATAATAAAAAGAGATATTTTTCTGCGTAAACTTGTGTGTTTACTTTATTTATTTTTTGCTCGGAATTATTCATAAAATGGTAGGCCTATTTAATAATTTTCTGAAAAAAAGAAATAATTGTTTTATGTTCGACCTTCTCCGGTCTTCCACGGTCACATGCAGTTTCCAAAGACCTTCTTCTATATTGTTCGATTATTGTCAACTATATTCCTGTTACAAACGTTTATTTATCCCCCCAACAATGTTGAAAATAGTTAAATGAAATATCTTTATATCATTAAAAATGTTCATCGCAGGAAACCATTTTACTTGTACAACTCATGGAATGCGACAACCACCTTTTCAATGAGGCCATACTACAAACTATTAGAATTGCTACGGGCACACATTTTACATCAGGTTTGGGTATGATTTTTTTCACATGTACATTTGCTGTTCAGCAAACGATTTGGACGACAGTACAGTCTATTCATGGTTATGATATCCAAATTAATAAAAACACCTTAATAAATATACAAATGTGGTAGCTACTCATTCGTTAACAAAATATGTCTTGCAAGCCCATTTGATTTTATCCCTGTATTCTGACAATATGTCAAAAACGTTATTACATTTACTAAACGGAAAGTGACACACAGGGGTATTCCTGTTTTTGTATATTAGTATTATATAATATTTGCATAGTTGCCATATGAGAACAGATGCGCAGACGTTTTTCAATCGCAATTCCTCCATACTATCATTGATGAGTAAGAATGATACAATATTTGGTGCTGATGATTCTTGTGCATGAGTCGGGACCTAAACGTTTTATTCAGAATAAGTTGAACATTGTAAAAGAAAGTAAACCAGGACCCTTCTGTAAGATAGAGATTAATCTTCGAGGCTGCTTGAATGTTCCTGGTTTTGAAAAAAGTTAATTTGAACCGCGTCACGACAAAACCAACGTAATGGGTTTGCGACCAGCATGGATCCAGACCAGCCTGCGCATCCGCGCAGTCTGATCAGGATCCATGTTGTTCGCTTACAAACCCTATAACAAGTAGAGAAACTGATAGCGAACAGCATGGATCCTGATCAGGCTTTGCGGATGCGCAGGCTGGTCTGGATCCATGCTGGCCGCAAACCCATTATGTTGGTTTTGTCATGACACGGCTCATTTCAGTCAGACGTCAAACGTGTTAACAATAATAATTTTCTTTCAAGATCTTCAACTTATTCTGGACAAAAGATTGTTTGGCATCGTAATAAATATCAACTGGTGGTATCCATCATTGAGTGAAAAAGAAGTAAGAATTATTGTACGCTGACGTCAAGTCCTAGTAGAAATAAAAAGAATTCCCGAACACACATTGAATTTTTTATTTAGTTTATTCTACAATGATCGAAAATAGGTTAAATATAAAGAGAATAAACACAACGGTCTACATTAGTTGGCTAATACAGGAATGTCAGTACCAAAGCATAAAACTTCTGATATTCTTCGTTATAACAGAACATAATGAGAATTGTATTATGCGAGCACCTGGACACCGTCATCTATATTGTATTAGAACTGTTGAATGGATTTATCCGGACGGCACCAGGACGCCATATTGTATCGTAGGGATACATATTTACCCTAGGACTGGCCTTATCAAGCCGTGACATCTGAAATAACGTATAATACATGTAGTAAACATCTTATAAAGTATCAGATATATTCCAAACGTTTATATGGTAAAGATATTTATGTAGAGTATATTTTAAGGTGCCATACTCTGCGGGAGCATTCTACAATTATGAATTACAAAAGTAATATAAATTATCTTCATTGATCATGTTTAGAAATACATGTGTCAAATGCCGTTTTCTTCGCCCCAAAAATATACAATGCAATGTTATTTAAAAGCGTATACATCCTATAGTCATAATATACATTACCGACTGATAACTTACAATGGCGGCCATTTTGATTAAATACAATTACATTGTACACAGTTTTACAATAGACGCAAGTTAACGATTCTGTTCTAGAAGAATCGCTTTATCGGCATCCATGGCGACCATTTGAGTAAATACAAATACAAAGATTTAGAATTGACGTTTGTTAACAATTCTATTTTGAAATACTCGCTCTATTGACATCCAATACATTTACCTCCTCGTCTGTCAGTTCCCATCCTGTACTTGCCCCCATGTTATCTTCAAGTTGTTTTAAAGACGTGGCTCCAATAATAACTGAACAGACTACATCTTTCTGTAGAAGCCAGCGGAGTGATACTTGAGGGACCGTTTTACCTATCAGAAATAAACAATATATTCATAAGTAGCTCTTTTGTAAAAAACCTTGTCAATAGATCGTTACAGAGTTTATCCTTTAAAAATAAAACAGAAAGCTGTCACATAACGCCACTTAAACTGATAATTTAAAACAAAGTAGATTTAAACTTTTAAACCTACCATGAATTTTAGCAATTTCTTTCATGGCGTCCATTAGCTTCCAGTAATTATCATCATCGTTATATTGACTCCAAGCTGGCGCAGCTTGCATGGCTTTAGACTCGTCTTGGTGAACAAATCCAATTCTACTTCCTTTTGCGTCTGGTGTTTTGTTTCTCTCGAATTTCCCGGTTAAAAGTCCACTGCAAAAATAATGGAAGTTGTAGATGACATTATAGAACACCAGGGCATCACAGAAATTTGAAAGGAGTAATTCTGAACTCGAAATATTTAATTTGATAAACAAATGATTAGTCACCCTTTTAATGGACTCCAGGGTAAGACTCCAATGCCTTCGTTTGCACACACCATAAATTCTTCGAACTCGGATTGCCGCGCAAGTAGGTTATATTGTTGCTGAAAGAAGAAAAGGCATGCACGTTGATAAATCATTAATTAATGAAGTGACGTTCAAACCAACTGATTCCGATTATGGTAATAATAATTTTGGCAATTTGCTTTTATTTTTCAGTTCCCTAAATACAATTACAAAATATAAGAGTGTTAACAAACAATAGATACATTTAATGTCATATATATTTTATACCTGAAGTGTAGCACAGGAATTAAGGCCCATCATCTCAATTTTATCGGCAATTTTTTGAAGCTGCCATCCGCAGACGTTACAGACACCAAAATATCGTATTTTCCCGCATCTCACGAGATCGTCAAATGTCCTCAGCGTCTCTTCGATCGGAGTGCCATTATCCCAAGCATGCGACTGGATACAGTTGATAAAAATATAAAATTGAAGTTTTAAATGAAACTCTGTTGCATAAATAGGTAACTGATAATTTGCTGATAACTGATAACTTCAAATTTATGTTTACTTAAATAGCCTTCATAAAAATGAGGTATTAATTAATATACAAATGGTAGCATATTTTAGTAAAGAAGGTACATTTTACAAAATGATATACATGTATTATTTATATCAAAACTATTTTGACTCGAACCTGGTAGAGATCTATGTAGTCTGTTTGCAGTCGTTCCAGGCTTCCTTCGCAACTTTCAACAATATGTCGTCTGCTTAAACCAACTTTGTTTACGTTTTTAAAATCAGTCTGATATCTCACTTTTGTTGCTAGGATAAATTTACTACGATTGCTTCTAAAAAGGGAAATCGTGAATGATATTCAACAAATTATAAAAGGCAAAACCAAACTCAATGACTCATTCTTAATGTACATGTAGCACAAACAGGTTCTTGGTGCATTACAAAATGGTGTTTATGTCAAAATTACTTTGTACATTATCTGTGGAAAATGCTGTATTGAATTTACAATTTCTTTCCAATAGATGTACAATGCATATTTAATGAAAGTGGTTCGTTACTCATTATATAGGTGTTAGTACTTTTTATGTAGAAGTCATTATCACTGCGATTTGAATATCTGATGAGCATGATAAGGGTATCGCAAAGTAACTGATGAAAATGTTGGCCAACATCAAACTTTCAAGATGTTTCCCTTTCTTTTACATGTAACCTTTACTTTCTTTTCTTTATTCCACAGATGTCTCATAATCAATGTCCAACTTCCAATCCACTTATAGTATTACTGTTCCGATGAGGTATTAATTGAATACTGAAATAAATTACATCACTCTACCTTGATACACATTATAAAGCTTCTTACTTTTTAAGCCAACTGCCAACCACCCGCTCCGACGCACCGATACCATACATATCAGCGGTGTCCAGAAAATTACCTCCTAGTTCAGAATATCTGTCCATCAACTTGTGTGACATTTCTTCATTGAGCTGGGTTGGAACTGGCATTACCTTTCAACAGATGCATTAAATTGTAATTATAATTCATAATGTTGTCCTATAATCTTATAATATATATCTACATTTTTTCTAATTGAAATGTGTCATTATACATTTATATCACCAGTTGTATTTTCTTAAAATTATTGTAAGTAGCGATCCATCGTTAGCACTGACAACAAAAGCAACTCGTATACCTATGTGTATTTTTTAATTACATATACCTATGTGTATTTTTTAATTACAAGTAACAACTTAAATTTTTTCGTGTATTTCATTCTTTTTAAATGATATTTATTTCAAATTAAACCTAAAGCCCCGGTCACATATTCACGGATAATGCCACGGAAGAGCTACGGTCTAATCGTTCACGGATTACTACGGAAATGTGAAATTCCGTAGTCCGCTACGGTTCCAGTACGGACACACAACGGTATAAGTACGGAGTCCGACGGATTTACCACCAAAATCCCCCGGAGAGACACGGATTGTTACGGACCGACACGGTTTGATGCGGAGCGACACGAATTAGGACGGATGCACTACGGATACACTACGGTCTGCTACGGTATAAGCACGGGTTAGTACGAATAAGTACGGTCTGATACGGAGAAGAACGAATTGATACGGAGAAGAACGAATTGCCACGGATCTATACGGACCTAATACATCCGTCCACAATCTCTTGCATAAATGCCCCACAAGAAAAGAACACCTGAAAAACGAATTGCAGAGTTTAATGATTTCGGCGGAGAGGATTCGGCCTGATCGCGTCTGACCCCCGAGACACATCAGGTCCGATAAAAGTGAATTTCTTGAAGGACGCTGGGTCCTCAACAAGTTCGGCCATGAGAGCCTCATACTAAACATGAAGGGGTCTTCGTAAAAGCCCATCTCCAGTCCACCATCTTGCCTGTCCTCTCTTACCTGATTAGATATGGACTAGTAATCATTAAAAAAAGTGTTTCTCTTTTAATTTTAAAATGTGCCGTTTTTTTACAATAATATTTATTATCGTGAATGTTTATGTTTTTAAAATATGTAAAAAGCTTGTTAATTAATCTTCTTATAACTCAAGGGTCAGTGTCCAAGGCTTATGAGACACTTCGTTTTATGTACATATTTACTCAAATTTCACGATCCAATGTTTGTAAAATGTGTAACATGAAATGTTATTACTCTATTACTTAAGAATTGTAGTACGATATTAATATATTTTACCTCTATGCATGTCATCTAGCAGCTCGACCACTGCCAGCGCATTCTGAGCCATTTCAATATAAAATTGCAGCCAGTAAATGGCAATTATCATTTATTGAATGTTCCCGCAAATATGTCTGTTTTTAACAAGTAGGTAGTACCCTTGGAAAGTACATGATACTTAATTCATCCGTTCTAAACAGTGGTGGACCGTACAAGTCCGTGTTGCAACGCAATAAACCGTATAAGACCGTGCTAATCCCTGCTTCTCCGTAGTACAACGTATTACGATCGTGGCTTTCCGTATTAATCCGTATTAAAACCGTAGCTTAAACGTAGGTTATCCGTACCAAACCGTGGAAATCCTTGACAAGTTGGTGGGCTACGAATCAGTACGGATTAGTACGATTTTCGTACGGACCAGTAAGTATCGGTACGTTTTAATACGGACTAGCAGGGATACGCTACGGTTGATTTTTCCGTAGCAAATTTTTGTGCATGTTCAAAAATTGTCAAGGATCGCTACGGATATACCAGGACTACTACGATTAATTACGGTTACAATACGGAGAGCTACTGACCAGTACGGGTAGCTACGGACGATGCCGGAATTAATCCGTGGCTCTTCCGTGGGCGTATTCCGTGAATATGTGACCGGGGTATAAGGTAAGATCATAATTTAATGACTGATTTTAGTATATTTATAGTAACACTTACGCCGTCTCCGAACGTCATGGTACCAAGGCATAGATTTGAAACTCGAACTCCTGTCTTACCGAGGTAATTATATTCAACAGCTATTTCCTTCGCCATTGTGTACGTTGACTTTAGAAACTTTTGCCTACCTTATTATTAAACTTTTATGATACAACCTCTATTCTTTTATATTTTAAACGTCTTGTAATGGTAAGTAATGTTTACGATTTCACTGTAGAAACAAAAGAATTTAAGGTCACAAAATGTCAGATAAAGTTGAATAAACTTTTGCTCAATAACCATGTAGTATCCCAATGTTCTATTTTATTTAACCTAACGTATTTCACCCGTCCCCCTTTATTTGTGATAACAATGACAAATAAACAGTACATTGATTAATTATCGATTTAAAGGAACTCCAATGAGGTCTAAAGCCTAGAAACATAAAATTTAATTATTTACATAGATAAGCTGGGGCACTGAAAACAGAAAGATATGCAAAAGATAATTAAGAAATATATTAAGAAATTCACTGATAATCATTCTCATCAAATTTTAGTGAAAGTCGTTGCAACACTTTCCAATTTAGTATATTCTAATTATGTAACTAATAACCATTCTAGAAAAAGGAGTGAACAAATGATCTGAAATTTTGCACACAATCTATTGGTCTATTCTTACATCTAGTGGAATATAATCTCGAAATAAATAATTTCTTTCCCGTCATGTTATGAAACCTCGGTTAAGTTATTGGATGTCACAAATTTTGAAGGAACAGAATAAAACAGCCTCTTCGAAATTTAATCCAATTTGTTACAATACATAATTAGTCCATTCAAATCACAAATTACTTTATACTCTACCTTATGAAAGTATCTTAGTACTTGTATATTTTAACATAAATATCAATGAAAATGGAAAAAGGAAAAGAAAAGGAAAAACAGCGGTCAAAATTTATTCTAAAATAACATATACTTAGCTGAAAACAATTGAACATATAATTGATTTTTTGTAGATAATGAAACATATAATGACCTGAAAATGTAGAAATGCAGTGTCACAAATATAACAAGATATTATAACAACAGATTTTTATTTATCAAACAAGTTACTGTACACAAAGTCAGATGGTGATATTTATTGTAACTTCTATTTATCAACTATAAACACGCATTACGTATAAATGTAGAGCAGAAAATTAATGATACATGAATCTGTTTTAAAGTTTCTTCAGTAAAAAAAATATTTCCTATCTTAAAGTACTGATTTTATATGAAGCGTACATTAAAACATAGAAGTATTTATTGTTTGAATTTTGGAAAAAAAAACATAGAAAACCAAAATACCTTTATACCAAAGAAAAATGTTTGTATATTTCCGTTGGAACAAATGGTGCATGCGTGATATCTTTGCCCACCATAATTAATATAGCAGCAAAATACGATATATTGTTCCGGGTCATTATTTTTTTACTATGCTTTGTTTTTAATCTTCTAAGAATCAACAAAACGATAATTGTAACAACAAAATTTAAACGTTTATGAATTGCATTCCACTAGATAGAGCTATATATCCTTTGAAATAATAAAAATAGTAATAGTAAAGAAGGGCATCATTCGTACCGTAAGTAATTGTCCATTCGCTATAAAAATGTTCGCTATAACCATGTTCGCTATAATAGTGTTCGCTATAACCATGTTCGTTATAACAATGTTCGCTATATTCATTTTCGCTATAACAGAGTTCGCTATATCCATGTTCGCTATAAAGTGCAGTGAAGTTTACTGCATGATGTTGAGAAGGTTAGTCAACATTTATACATGTTAAAGTTTATGTTATATAAACATGATTTTGTTGAGTACATAATCAGACATATCGATACTGATGCTATATTTATTATGGTGTTAACTCAATGATCAGTTGAAACTATATAATGTCGAAGTTTGAATTAACGTCCTATATACACCGAATACTCTTCAGTTAGAAGGTATATCTCCTTTAGGTTTGCCTTCATTATTTACATAAACATGAACACGATTAAAGAAATTTAAAATCAAAAACAAAACATTATCAATTTTAACATCGATATATACAAGTATATATGAAAGAACACGAGCTATTTAACGTCTTACGTGCAGAATATATATATATATAACTAACCAAAAGTAGCAGTGAAGAAAAATATTTAGATAAGACAATAGTTGAAAATCAACTACAATACACTCAGCCTGGTACTTTTCAAGCGAAGAAATAAAAGGAAAAACATTCTAGACCAATACATTTCTGGAGGATCTTTAAGATTTCCATGTACGCTAGCTAAAAAAGTAAATTTCTAATTTTAACCGAAATAACAATGAATACAGAAAGTGACAAAGCACGACATATAGTACTGATTGTTTTCAAACTTAAAACAAACATGTTCACATATTTCTTGTTTTATTTCGATAATACCCATACAAGTAACTATAACATTAGAAACCAACAACCGTTTCTTTCATTTACAAGTATTTTATCAATATATACTGAACAAAAAAAGAAACTTCCCCTGTATGTAAGTGCAGATATACACAAATATGAAAATCATGACGAAAGTAGATTTATATGTATCGAAAGAGTATTTTATTGCGATTTTTGTGAAAAAAAATCATTGCTGAGGGTTTATCAAAATGGTAGTTAAAATGCAGAAGGGGTCGCCCAACAAAATCATAAATTAATATCGGGTATGACCACCTTCGGCATGAAGACTGTCTGGCATCGTTGGCATCGTTCTTTTTGACATGGAAATCTATACAATTACAATGAAAGGTTTCATAGAATATACACGAATGTACTGGTCCGTGCATTGCAACACTATTTCTCCACTGAAACACGGGGAAATTTACATTTTTTTTTTGTTCAGTATATATTTCCTTCCTTTGCTCTGTTCTCACAGTTCTAAATGAGCCGCGTCACGACAAAACCAACATAATGGGTTTGCGACCAGCATGGATCCAGACCAGCCTGCGCATCCGCGCAGTCTGATCAGGATCCATGCTGTTCGCTATCAGTTTCTCTACTTGTTATAGGGTTTGTAAGCGAACAGCATGGATCCTGATCAGACTGCGCGGATGCGCAGGCTGGTCTGGATCCATGCTGGTCGCAAACCCATTATGCTGGTTTTGTCGTGACGCGGCTCAAATATTATTGTCTCCACCTCGTGTTTTACATCTAAATAATTTCCTAAATATAATTCTGTATTGTGCCTTAATCTCGGGGATTCTGAAGGCATATATGACCGGATCACAAATCGTGTTTACTACGTAAAGCAAGCATACTTCGTAATCCATTGAAAACCACAAAAACTCACTTAGTATTATTAATAAAACTGGCATAACAAAAACAAAATACGACGTTATTATGAAACATACCGTGACAGCTGTCTTTGTTATACCGTGACGATAAGATGACGGTTGTCTTTGCATAAATGTATTAATAGAGTAAATTGTTATTGAATAGATAATCACGAAGAAGAAAAAGAATAAAACACAACACAAGAAATAAAAAAAATTGAAGAAGACAAACATATTTTTAGTGGCCGGTACAAAGTTTGAAATATGATACAAGCATGTTGCTATGGCAACATATATTAAGCATGGCGTTACCCAGAAACAAGCTATCAAAATATTGCCACGCCTTTTCGACATTAAAACCTTGTATCTCAGTGGTTTATGTACCTTAAGAAAAACATCAATTGATATTGCGCTCATTGTGGAGAGTCCTGCAAATTGTGCCGTTGAGTATAGTACATTTATAAAAACACCTTGATAGGTATGATCCCTCATTCCAAACTTAAATATACTCCAAATGCTAGGAAACCTGACATAAGTTAGTAACAGATGATGAACGGCAATAACCCCATCAGAAAAAGATAGGCTAAGAATAAGTTTTAATTGCGTTTTTAATGACCCTTTTAATGTTAAAAGTATGACGCACGTTGACACGTTCAATAACAACCCTATAAGAGATGCAACACGCTCTGTTAAAGTTAAATAATATACATATAACTAATAAGTTGAATCATCCCAGTCTCTGTAGAAAGTGGGTGGGGTGACAGCTGATGATAAATTTACATCACCAGAGACGCTTGTATTTCCTGACAACGTACCAACATAGTCAGCAGCTACAGACGCGCTGTTGTTGTAACTTGGTTCTGTAAAATTTCCTGTACCGAAGAATGGACCCCTCATTGCAGTTTCTAAATCATTTTCATGACGTAAATAGCATGTTTTCATACGATGTTTCAGTGATTTACATCATTTGATTTTGGACCATTCACGTTCTTCTTTTCAAATTATAATTTTAACCGAATCAAATGTAGTGCCATAGGTCAAAGTATTTGTTGGATTGAACAATTAAGTCATTACTAGGCAACATCTTGTTTTATTAGAATTCTGTGTTATTCCTCTGCTCTTAAATATATGAATGATCTGAAAATATATAGAAATCATTAAGCTTCAAGCATGAAGTTGTATTAAATAGTACATTCTGTAAAAAAATAGTTTGTGATAAAAGACGGGTTTGTGATATTTTAGAAATATTAAGTTAAATATTGTTGAGTAGTTATGGCGTGTCACTTGAACAAAATTGTATCATCCTAGTTTCCAACATGATATTAATGAAATAAGAATTATTTTTATTTGTGTTATCTTTTTATTTTATTTATTTTTTTATTTCGATTTTTTTTTATTGGGGGGGGGGGAGAGGATGGTACGTCACGCTGACACATAAGAGGTCATATGGTCATATGGTGACGTTCTAGGTTACTGCTGGAGGAAGACCTCAGTTGATATTTCAGGCACGTGCGGGCACCCCAGTAGAACCATCGACGTTCCGTAAACTGTGAATAGCTTCCTGACATGAAATAATTTAAAGTCTCTTGTAGATTCGAACCCCAGCGACATAAGGGGGAAGATGGTGTGAGTCAACGCCCTAACAATTTTTGGCCACGGAACCTACTAATAAAACATATACAAGCAAATAAATAATATCTTTACATTACAGAATTCCATTTTGAAAAATGAACACCAATATTATACATGTATATAAATTATCATTCACAAAAGAAAAAAAATAAAGATAAAAATAAAGTTGTTCTTACCGTTTATAAAACGTAGGCAATATTGTAAGTTTGATCAGATTTTTAGTTCCAGATCACTTCCTAAATCACCAGGAAACTCACAGCCAATGTCTGATATACGTGCTATTTATCACAATAATTATAAACAATTATATAACCACTGTGTGAACGTAGTTTTGCAAAATGTCGTGATATTTACCATATATGCTTAGAATTTTACTGGCATCATTAATTCATTAATATAATTAGTAAAAATGTCCTGAAATATATCACATGGTGACAAAGTGTTTGCTGCAACATTTTACTTCTTCCAAACGGCTGTTGGGGATTGTTTTATGTAATCATAATATCTATACATGTCACGTTGACCCATGTAACACATGTGAACATAATAAACAAGTATTGTTACCTTACATAACCTAGTTCCATTATATTCACAAATTCTCTTGCTTCATAGAAGCACAAACACCCCTTTTCCTTAAGGGAGAGTAATTACGTGCATGCTTTTGTAGGGTTTGCAAGTTAAGAAGAAATTACATGTTTGCTTTCAATACAATATAAACAGTACAATGTTTTCAAGCTGCGTGATCGAAACCGGCCGCGGAAATCAAGAGACGGACCAAAAGCATGGCACAAACGGAGGCCCCAAATTGTAATAATATAATATCAGTTATTGCATTAATTATCTCATTATATTTAAAGATTCCATTAAGGTTTTGTATATGTGTTCTTATTATACGAAATGTCTGAAGTTGTTTTGCATCTAGTAAAACATACGTAAAATACAGAATTCAATGTAACATTATACGGACATATCAAAACAGTCGTTTTGCACTTGGTTGTCCGTCCGTCCGTCCGCAGGATTATCTCAATGTGGAGAAAATGCTATCTACTATCTACACAGGTTTGTTTGTTCACTTTTTTTCCGAGAAGGTACAATGGACGCTTGTTACGAAATTGCTGAAAAATAATATTACATCATTCACCAACTGAATATCATGTTATTTTAGAATATTTTTTGTGCCATTATATCAACAGTATATTACAATTAGGAAAATGATTCATCACATCGAGGACTTGATGTTTAAAATGTCAACGCCGCAATCTTTTTTATGGTTATTAGTAGCAAAAAGTGACAAATATTTCTGTAACATAAAATATTAATATTATATTTGTTATAAATTTGATGTTTCATTTTGAATATTTGCGATAAATGCGGTAGAATATTTGATCTGATTACAAATGTAGAATATAATATTTTCTTGCATCTCAGACAGGATTATCTATCGTTTACACCGGTGCTAGAAAACTCTGTCTTACACCCCCCATGTAAGACAAGTCGCGTGCTTTAAATGACGTCACTGACGCGCGACTTTTATTAATGAATCGCGTTCTAAGTATGACATCATTTTTCCGTTATGAATGAAGTTTGTATGTTCATACGCTACTATAAGAAAAAAATGCGTTGTGAGAATATCAGTTTTCGTAATTTCTGTTCCGAAAATAATTGATATCTAATATGCAAGAAAAAGAATCAAACACCGGCTGTCGGTACAGACGAGATATCTAGCTCTCGGGTAACTGTTTAGCGGAAACTCGGCAGAGCCTCGTTACCGCCGTAAACAGTTACCTTCGAGCTAGATATTCCGGTCTGTACCGGCAACCGGTGTAAGATTCTTATAGTACGAAGTTGATGTAAAGACACAGGCACTGCAAACAATCAAAGATAAAAAGCTATATACGCAAAACCAATCACAATGCAATAGAGGGTTAATGCTCATTTTATCGTAAGCACACAAATAAAATAGAGAAACACAGAATCCCTAAAGAAAGCCCAACATGGCAAAATTGTAAAATGTGCAGGCTCGGTTTGATTGAGCCTGTTTATGGACGGTACTGGAAAGTGCAAGTTACCGTCCACGCCCCCTAGCACCGGCTGAAGCAGAATTCAACATTTAATTACAAAAAAGTCCAAGTCCCTAAATAGGTGTATTATAAGCGCTATTCTTGCACAAGAGAATACGTCTAATTAAGTAGTTACTAAAAATAATAGTACATATCGCGTTATCTGTTTTGTTTGTTTGTGTTCAACGATCCACATGTTAGTGCGAAATGTTTTGATAATGAAACTACTTGGGGCCGTTATTACAGTAAGATAATTGTATATATGTATACCTGCGTGCACAGTTTTAATGAATAATATAAAATAAAACGGTGTTTATAAGGACATGTTCTATTTTAAAAATCTTGTCGTAACGATTATTACAGACCTCCCACAATGACAAGGAACAGATAAGCAAATTATCTCCTGATAATGGATGTAATGAATGAAATTCCAGAACAATTAGGGCTAAAAGGTGAACAAAGTAGTAAGATGGGGTAAAATGATGTTGAAAAACTATTCAGGAGACCCAAAGTTATGTTTTGTTCGAATCCCAAATTATTCCGAAAATGATAATGTCACGGTATTGAGTTGTTCTCTAAATACATTAATTTGGGGAGGGGAGGTAGTTTGTAGGCGGCCACATAGCTTAGTCAGTAGAGCCGCAGTACGGTATTTCGAGGGTCCCAGGTTTGAGTCTCGGTCAGGCTTCACATTAAATATATATATATATATATATATATATATATATATATATATATTATATATATATATATATATATATATATATATATATATATATATATATATATATATATATAATATATATATATATATATATATATATATATATATATTTTTTTTTTTTTTTTTTTTTTTTTTTTAATGGAGGTGTTTCAATCATTACTCATGGCGAAAAAAAGTATTAAGTGGAGTAAAGTATGTAAAGGATCCAATGTAAAGGGATCCTTTTTCAGGGGAAACATCAGAAGATTCTTACAGTATAGAATTACCGTCTGAATGCAAGTGTTGTATAGCTTTGAAATTGTACATCTTATCTCTTATTAGTGCTGTACATCTGTTGAGGCCTTAAATAACAGCATGTGTAAAGGGAGACAAACGTAAATTGTATTTAACTTTAGTTATCTATTTGGTCATATCCCTTTAATTAAATTAAACGGCGCGTTGAAGCCAATGTACACGAGAGAAATTCTGCACTAAATACAAAAATATATACACGTGTACATGGAACGGGTAAAGATTTCAATATTTTGGCATTTATTGATATAAATAAATATAAAGAAATATGAAATACAAACATTCTGTTAAATTAATGTTTCAAATGGCTTCTTTGCTGAAATATACAACTAAGAGAAGTTTAAAAGTGTTTTTTTTTCCCAAAGTAATATATTTAGCATATGGACTTCAAACACTTTAACCGTTAGGAATATATGTAGACGAAAAATATTAAGGTCATTGCTGTATGGTTCTTCGACATGTTCATTAGATGGATAAAATACAACAACAACAACAACAACAACAACAACAACAAAAGAAGAAGAAGAAAAAAAGAAAAACTGATTTGAAATCACGAAGTGCGAAATTGTTATTACCATCTCACATCGTTTTCCGTGCTCTCATATAGTGTTTTCTTGCCTTCACATACTGTACTGTGCCAAATCAAAGACTATGTACTGTATGCCAATAAGGATTAACTGAAGATGAATCTCATTTCTTAATAGTGTGTCCGATATATAATGATATAAGATCAATGACATAAAATGACATTATTACAAATGATGTATATAACAACAGTCATGACAAATACGGAAAAATTAGTTTTTCTTCTTAAAAATCACTAGAACAAAATAATAAAATTTCTCGTTAAATTGACTTTAACGTGCCAATAGTTAAACATGATGATATATTGACTGTCCATTTTCTGAAATGTGATTACTGCAATTTACATTACAACTATATATATGTATAGCGTTTTTGCTTTTATATATATATACGATATACGAGGATTGATCAAAAAGTTCTTGGCCCGATGTACTTCTGGTAGTCAAAGAACCCAACTAATGGTCTTGCTTTTCAATATAATATAATTTACTGTTGTTTGTCTTTGCATTGTTTTTCGTGCCATCGTATCGTGGTTTCTTGCGATCCACACTAAAAACCAACTTTCACTTTTCAGTTAACTTGTATTGATGACGTTAAGTCAGAAGTCATATGTGTTTATGACTCTTTTTTTTTGGGGGGGGGGGGTGGTTGCGTGTGTCTGATTAGTTGGACGATTGTGTGTATCTCTTCTGGCATATGGGCTGCAAACTCATATAATGAGTCACGTGATATCCATTATCAGTAGATATCATGGTAAATTGTGTTACATTTGATGTTAACAAATGTTTAAAGCTAGTTTTAAGAATAATGCGTATAATTTATAATCAGAAATACATCTATTTGCTTTCAATATCCATTAGTTTATATTAACGTATTTAAGATATTAACAAATCGAATTTTACGGCTTCATTTGGCTACGCTCAAAAACAATATTGTAATATTAGTGTTATTATAACATTGCGTGACTATCCAACTTTATGAAGATTGTTTTGATCTCATCTTCCATCCGGTCATTTGTGATTGTTTTATTATGACAATTTACGCAACGATTTACTCGGGAAAATGCCATTCCTCATAGTAAATGTCTATTGTAGTGAGTGAAAACATTATTTGAAACAACTGCGTTTTTCCCCTGGTCTTTTATTGTTCTTTCCTATGCTATACTCGAATTATTTCTTGTAGCTAAGAAAATGCCATTTTTGTAAACATTGAAATTAAATTATAGCATATTTATATTGATGACTTTTCAAAGTAAGACATCTTCTATTTTAGGTGTCTCTTTAACTTGTTTTACGTTTGACTTTATCATGTTATGTTTGAATACCAACCGTGACAAAATGTTTTATATGTATAAATAGTAATTTTAATGTATAACGAGATACATGTAAATGCATAAGTTAAATAAAATTGTCTTCTTCATTTCTTCATAATGATTAGTCTTTCAAACGATCAATTTATGATATGATATCAAACAATTTTCAAATGGTCTTTAGTACGTCAAAGTATAGAATCAACAAATAACAGTGACGTTTACTGAACGATGCCCAACACGGGATTTTCGAACCGGTCCCCCAGTAGAGCACCGGACAGAATTAACAACTGGGATATTATTAGAATATATCAGTTCTTCTAGGAAACAAATAAAATATGACAGGCAGTGATATGATAGTTAGTTACTGGCACATTAATGTTTGAACAATTACACATTCTTTATAAATGATATATTTATAGGTACCTGTCAGTATTCTGTATTTCTTTTTTCTTAATATTATTTTTTACACATAATTCTTTATAAAGATTTCTG